CCCAGTCACAGGACATCTGAGTTTTCTGAGTTCTCCCACAACCAAGTTTTGCATAGGCTGTGAACCTCTAGGAAACTCTCAAATAAGATTTACATACTTCAAACAGAAGGTAGTGGACACAAAAGGCAACATCACAAAAGGCAGATCAAAGCCCAGGTGCTAACACTCTGGAATCAATCCAGCCGCAGAGCTCATCAAGAACTCCCGCTACAAATACCACTGGGAACAGCAGGCAGGGACAGAGGCCAGACGACCACCGGGCCACAAGCCCTCCTACACGTGAGACAAGTGACGATTTCCCTTTTCTCTGCTTCACTCTCTAGGTGACATGGTGCTATCTTTTTTTTTTTTTTTCTCTCTTGGTGATTTTTCCAAAAAGCTGTACACTCCCAGCACATGACTACTTTAATCATTATTTACAGCACTGTCTTCTACCCCAGAGGAGTCAGAATACATTTTAGCCTTACCAGTTTAGGACCAGCTACGTGCCCCTTTCCCCACCTGAAGTTTCTGATTTTCACCATCCCGAGAAGCTGGCAGCTTTGTGTAATAAACTGCATTTTTATGCAACCCTGCATAAAGTAGGCTTAAAGTTAATTAAGAGGGACCCAGATGACTTAGGGATTCTGAAGTTTGCAAGGGTAACAAATTGTGTCTTTTGGGCTGATTCACAGATGACTGTATTCCAGCAACGGGCAACCAGAATACTGTTCCTAAGCATGGGGACACGAGGCTTCTGTGTACTGTCTCACCAGACAGCAGACCATCCATAAACACACACCAGAGCCACTGTTGGAGGTCAGAACACAGCGGAACCTCAGGACTAAGATTTGCAGTGGAGGAAAAGGAGGCCAGAGAAAGAAGGCGGGGTGGGGGTGGGGGGTGTGAGACCAGCAGGTAAGGCTCCCGGGGTCCAGCTCACCTTTCAGGAGCCAGGTGGACGTGGCAGCTGAAACAGAGGCTTTTGCGTCGCCTACCCCTAAGCCCTGCAGTACAGCCTGGGTGGCTAGGGAACCGGAGAGGCTGGAAGCAAAAGCCTGGAGAGAAAAGAAGTGGAGTGAGGAGTGGTCGCAGGAGCACGGGGGGGGGGGGGGGGGGTGGGGTGTTACTGTACTCTACCAGCTCTCACTGGTGCTGTGTGACCTGGGAAACTGTCAGCACTCTGCCGTGCACCCCAGCCTTCCAAGTGCAAATGCAGACTGCAGTTGGCCTGTTCCCTGGGTCCCCAGCTATACCACCGCTCACCCCCACCCCCCAGTCTCCCGGGCAGTCGGCCAGCCGGACCTGCACGGAATCCCACAGCTGATAGGACAGGTAGTCCGGGCTGACGCTATCTGGGAAGCCCTGAGGCAGCAGCACGGCTCTGAGGCCCGAAAGAACGGGCAGCGCTGCCCAGCGCCCCCCGCCTCCACCCGCGTCCTGCCCGGGATTCGCTGTCGGGGCTCCGGAGAGCCAGCCCCACCGCCGAGCCCCGTCCCACTGCAGGCTCCCGTCGGCGGCGGCGTGGCAGCCGCGCGGGGCTCGGGAACCGAACTGTTCCGTGCACAGCTGCACTCGCAAGCTCGCAGAGTCAGCCATCCCCAGGCTCAGCCGGTCGGTGCAAGTCCAACGCGGCAAAAAGCGAGGCGAACTACAGTTCCTGTTCGGCTACGGCGGCCGCAGAGGGGCAATAAGCTTCCTTTCCTGTCTTGGAACTTAAGACTGTTGTGAATTCCAATGGGAAAGATGCCTTCCTGGGGGAAATAGTTGTGATCGAGACGCCATTCAGAGCTCAAACTTTTAGCTGTGTAAATCTGAAGTGTATCCCTCTCTGGGTCCCAGGTGCCTTTTTTTTTTTTTATTATTATTATTATTTTTTTTCTGTGAGGCCAGGGACAAAATAGCTTTTGGAAATTTTAAAATTAGCTTGTGACTCCATGAGCTTCATTATGGCATTCTTATACATACTTTCTTTTATTGTTTCTCCTTCACCACTTGCCTCCCCGGTTCCCTTGCCTGACTGTTATTGGATAGAAACCCACTCACCCACTCCCAATTTTGCTTTTATGTCACATGATTTTTGTCTTTTTTTTTTTTTTCTACTCTCCTTAAGATACCTTCTTCCCTCCTCATGGTCCCATTTCTAAGTGTGTGACCTCTACCTCCTCCCATACACAAATATAAAAGTTCAGATCTAGGAACTGCACATGAGAGAAAACATGAGGTATGTGTCTTTCTGAAACACTCTTAAGTGTATTTTCCTGCAGCTGTCATGATTTCACTTTTCTCTATGGCTGAATAAAATCCCACTGTAATTCCACATTCTGTTACCCGCTTGTCTACTGACAGAGATCCAGGCTGACTCCACTTCTCAGCTGTTGTGAAAGCTGCAGCGGTAAACACAGATGGACAAGTATTTCTGTGGTAGGACATAACGTCCTTCAGGGCATGCCTGTGAGCAGCAGAGCTGGAATCGTGGGGTAGTTCTCCTGTTTTCTCCTTTGCTTTTCACAGCAGCTGCACCCGTTTACATTCTCACTAGCATCATATAAGGGTTCTTTGCCAATATTTGTTGTTACTTTGTTACTGGGGAAACTGAGATTCCCATGTGAACTTCTCAGTCTCTTTAATAAAAGAATTTGGAGGCTGAGGGATGGCTTAGTGGTTAAATGTCTGTAGTTCTTCCAGAAGATCGGCGGCATTTGGATCTCTGCACTCACGACTGTTCACAAACCACCTGGAACTCCAGCTCCAGGGATCAGACACCCTCTTCCTGGCCTCGACAGGCAAACACATGGCTGTGCACTTACACACTCACAGACACACAGATAAGCAATAAAATCTTTTTAATAAGAGAATTTAGAAATGGAATGAACAGGAATCTTGAGGACAGCTATATTAGTTTCAGAGGGAAACATAGTACAGGTTGGGTGGAAATCCTGGCAACCACCAGGAGGAGTGATGGGAAAAAATCATGCCTTTTAAATTAGGCATGGGGTAGAAGTAGCTAGCTTGCTAAGGAAGAGTAAAGGCTCTACCAAGAATGGAAGTGGGCTAGAACGGAGGAAAGAGCCCAAACATATCCAGCCAAGTGCTGTTTGGTTATTCAGAGCCGTCATGTAACAGCCTCCCTAAACAAGTAGGGTGTAACACATAGTCCCCCGACCATTGTCCACTCCTACCCCTCGAGAGCGTGCCCTCCACAGTGGCCTCTTTGGTCACTGTCCATTCTCACTCTGTGAAAGTGTCTTCCTCCACAATGGCTCTCTGGCCGTTGCCCACCCTCATCCTTATGATTATGCATTAAACCCTCTCTTCTACACTACACTCTGTATCTCACCAGAACTCACTTAATAGAGAACACAAGGACGGGACACTGAGGGAAAAACAGCAAGATCCAGTAACAACATCATCTTCACAGGGGCTCTGTGTCCTTTGCTACCTTAGTCTTGATTCAGACCATTTCTGCCCAACTCTGCTCGCAGATATATTAATCACTAAGAACTATTTTGTCTCGAACAAGATTGATTTGACTTAAACTTCCTTACTTCCCTTCCAAGGCTGAAGACATCAAGATTAAGAGTAACTAAACCCACTAAGGCCACTGGAGTGGCGCCAGGAAATCACCCATCATCAAGTTTTCGTTTGAAGAATGCCCTCAGCTGTTAGCTCTTCCTTGCCTGATGCTCTGTTCCCCTCTCTATGAATCCCTTCCACACACCAGACGGTTTTTTACCGGCGTTAACCACTTGGTTTCCTTGGCTTTCCAAACAAATTTTTTTTTCTTTGCCCGAGTACTTATCCCTGAGTCATTGGCCTTTTCAAGTAGCAAGAAGACAGCTTGGTTCACTAACCTTGAGAGGAGAGTCTCTGCCCAACAGCTTTCCCCAAGTTAGAATTTATTTCTAAAAGTCCGGTCAGGATGCTAAGGGGTAAGAACATGAGAAGGTTGCAGGAACAGTGTCAGAAAGCGTCCAAGCATGGAGAAGTTCTTGTGTGTTTCTTTCCATGGGGGGGGGGGAGCTGTGTGGAGTTAGGAGTATCTTCTCTCCCTCTAAACTCACCCCTTTTCTTTATCCTCCTCCTTCCCACCTAGTTTAGGGAACTGGCCCTAAAGTTGGAATTTGCCAAAAGCATCTTCTTTTTTTTCTTTAAATCAGAAAATAAAATATCATTGTCCCTCTTCCCCACCCCCACCCCGTTTGACCCTGGATAACAACTCCATTCTGGAAACTTCTGATCCTCAAGGGCTGCTGGCTTCATCATGGACTGTGGCTAGGATCACTCTTCCAACCCATGCCACCGTATCTGACCCCACACAGAGCCTGTCTAAGGTTGAGATAAACACTGGCACTTTTGTGAGTTTGAGTTTCCAGGAAGAATGAAAAATGCAAAGGTTACTGAACACTGCGTTGTTTTTCATGCTAGCTTCTGTGAATGAACCAAACCCGAAGCCACTTTCTATGAATGAATTCACCCAAGGGCCTTACTTGGAATGCATGTTTGTAACTGTGAGATCTTGGGAAAGCTGCTTGTTTTTCTGGCATTCAGTTTCTCCACTTTAAAAATGAAAACAATACTAGTACATACCAGATAGGGTGAGGGTAAGGGCTGAGCAGATTATATGTGTAGGGGTCTAAGTCAGATTTGGCAAGTGGTACATACTATTTACACTTACTTATTTATTATTTATTCATTATTTATTATTTATTATTTATTTGTGTGTGCGTATAAGAGAAATGTGCATATACATCATGGTGTGCATGTGGACATCAAAAGATAACTTGTGGGAATCATTTCTCCTCTTCCACCATGTGGGTCCCAGGGATTGAACTCAGGCCATCAGGCTTGGCAGCAAGTACCAGTGAGCCATCTTGCCAGCCCAGTACATAACTATTTAGATGTTATGAATTATTTGGAGATAGTGGCAAGTATTCAAAGATTCCTTTGCTCCCCTGAGGCAAAGACATAATTTTCTTTATAGTTGAAAAAGCTCCATTATGTATATGTCCTACATTTTCTGAAGGAATTTTTATAATGATAAACACTAATACATGTTTGAAAAAGTATCTGGCATAAAAGAATGCATAATATGGCAAAAGAAGTAGTATAAACTCCTCTTTTGAGAATAAGGTTTTGTTTGGACATAACCTGGAACCAGCCTTCAACTTGATTCTCCTTCTTCTGCCTCCTAAATGTGGGGTTGTAGCCTGGCTTCTAAACTGCTCTGAATACAAAAGCTGTAGATGGAGAAACAAGTGTCCTTACGTTGTGTATAATACAAAAGTGCCCATTATGTAATGGGGTCCAATAAATGTCAGGTTCCTTAGAATTTAGAGACTGGTTTGTTTGGGGTTGTAGGGAAAAGGGCAAGTGTATATGTCCCTGGTTTTTTTCTTGCATTTTCTGTCTTCATTTATCTATTTTTTTTTCTTGGTCTCTCTATCTTTCTAACTCCAGGGAAGCCTCACCACCCACCTTCCCCGCCCCAGGATGACCTATCATGCTCCTTCAGGACCTCGATACAGGGCGTTTCCATCTTAAGCTAACCCTGGACTCTGCCTACATCTAGCTTAGAGCAGAGGACACACCAACCCTGAAGAGTTTGTGAGGCAAGCTCAGAACCGTTGGACTTGAAGGTGAGCCTGTGTGGGTAGAAATCTGACTTCCAAAAGAGCAGGACTTGAAAGGTTTGGGAAAGGAGGGATGTTTAAGGGTGTGTGTGTGTATGTGTGTGTGTGTGTGTAATAAAGAGAGAATTGGGGGGATAGTCAGGCGTGAAGGAAAAGGATACATTTTACCTCTTTCTTTACCTTACAGATGGCCCCTTTTCTAACCAATAAGGAGCTGATTTCTGCGGGAATAAAGGAATTTAATGTTCTGCTGAATCAGCAGGTAAGCCTGTGCACTCTGTTTCAAAGGACAGAGATGGAGAGAGTGTGTGCTGGGAGGATAGAAAAGGTTCATTTGAAACTGGAAGGGCAATGGTGGCATTGGTCCAAATGTCTAGAAACAGGGAATGCAAATCCAGGAAAAGAGGGTGTGAGCGTTTGTAAGACCATCCTGGCACTTCACATCGCTGACCACATTCTCCCTTGCCAATCCCTCCCTTCTGTCCCCACCCCACCCCCAGGTCTTTGATGACCCCCTTATCCCTGAAGAAAACATGGTGACTGTGGTGGATGACTGGGTGAAATTGTACACCAACTATTACAAGAAGCAGATGCTTGGGGAGCAGCAGGAACAGGACAGAGCTCTTCAAGAACTCCAGCAAGAGCTGAGTACTTTGGGCAGCCAGTTTCTGACCAAATATAGGACCTTTCTGAAGTCCCGAGAGAGCACACCGCCTTCCTCATAGCCTAAAGGCTCATGGTATCTCATCTAAGAACCCTGAAGTCTTGGCTCTCTGGGTTATGTCCTCAGACTGTTCTCTCATGGTGTTGCTGGACCTTGATATCTTAATAAAGACCAATACTAATCTGTTGACTCCTGGCTCTTTTTTCCGTCGTTCCTGGATGTGGGTGCATTTGATTACTTTTTCTTCATTAAGCACTTTTTAAACAATGATTTTAGAGGTTTGATTCAGTATAAAGAGGTTGGTAACTTTAAGAAAACAGTGAATAATGCTAGAGTAGGATGTAGATGTATGTTCAGGCAGTCAGGGACCAAAGAGAAAGTTCTGGGTAAGGAAGGTAACAGAAAACAGAAAAGCAGACAGAAGTCTTCTATAAATTGCTATTTCCCGACTTGTTTGTCTAGCAGAGCCTCTGGTTCATCTTTTTTCCATCGCCCTCAGCTCCAGCTTGACAACATTTTAAGATCTTCTATTACAAAGCACCCTGGTGGACACTCAGAGGAGTGGCATGATCATTTACAGTTGGATAGGATGTTGGGGACCATTCAGCGCATCCTTTCTACATCAAGTGGGAAATCCTTACCTTGGGCTCCCCCGTTACCCAGTACAGATTCCAGGCCCCAGGAGCAGTCAGCTTTTCAACTGCTTTCGCTGTCTCCTGTCACTCATGGACTAACGCCCCCCCCCTTTTTTCTTGGAGCTCCAGGCTTTTTACTTTAGGAAGTTCGGGTGAATACAGAGCCAGGTTACAGAAAAAAAATGAAACAAAATTTTAAGACCACAGTTCAGTCTTCCGTGAAAGCTTGACAACACAATCAGGGAAGATGGGGGACGGCAGCCGGGTGAGAGGACTTTCATGTCATTTTTCACGGTTCCTTTCCAGTGGGAACATTTGGGAGGGAAAAGATGCATCTGGGAAGCTCAGTTTCTAAGAGGGGGGGGGGACACACAAGGGGCAGAGTTGGATCTGGTTCAGAGTAAGAGTGAACCAACACAGTGTCCCAACATCCTTCCAACATCCAGGGTGTTCCTGACTTAGCTGGAGCGGCAGCTTTCCAGGGAAACAGGATGCATGCCCCTCTGAGGACAGCTGGTTCTGACGGTGGCTAGAGACTTATCCCTGGACCCCTCGGCAAATCTCAGGCTGTTAATCGGAATCTTGTGCCTTTGCTTCACACCTGGGTCAGGACCTGGAGTAGAGCATGGGTGGGTACAGGAGTCACTGAGGAGCCAGATAACGAAGTTATTTTATTTACAGTTACTGTGCACAGTGTACCTGCAAAAGACTAGTCAAAGCCAGTTAGCCTTAATGTATGAAGGTAATCTTTTTGTAAGCCTTGGGATGCTATTTAACCTTTCCTCAAGTGTTCAGACCAGGGGAGATGATAAATGAATAGGTATGTCTAGCAAGGTGAACAACTGAACACCAGCCAGTCCTTAAACTATGAAATCGAGAAGGGACCTTTTAGTGATGTCCATGTTCTTACATTTCTATCCATATGTTTAGTCCTAAGTCTACCTAGAAGAAAATCTAGACTGCTTTGAGCTTTGTATTTAGAGGTGGTAGGATCTCTAATAATCCAAAACAATAAAATGAAAACAAATTTACTGAATCGGTTCGTACCTCAAATCCATGACTGAAGAAAAGTTAAGCAAACTTTAGCTGCAAGGATGACTCTGCAATAGAAGCTATTGAATCAACCCTAGAGAGACCTACAGGCAGGAGGTGAGATGAAGCCACAGTCCCATCTTATCTACACCCTAGAGTGAACCCTCACCAAGGCTGACTCCGAACCTGAACCACGCCTTCCGCTCTGATAAGATTCCCCAGCTGGCTTTCACTCTGACCATGGCAGACACCTTGCCTTGACAACGTCCCTGCGTGGCGCACAGACATTATATTCACCCAAATCTTGATGGTGAAGCAGCATTGACTAATGACATGATTCTAACCCGGAATCTGACATCTGACTCTCTCTCTCTCAGAAGGCTGGCGTCTCTCTCTCTCTCTCTCTCTCTCTCTCTCTCTCTCTCTCTCTCTCCCCTCTCTCTCTCTTTTAAAGAGTTTCATAATTTTTTTTACTTGAAAAAAGTTGTAGAAAACATTACTCTTCTGGTCAAAATTCCCCATGCATGGGGTTCATGCAGCTTCCTGCCTTAAAGGTTATGGTATAACATTCAAATGAAGGGTTTTTCAAAGAGCCACAGTAGCTTGAAACCTACAAGAGACAGAGATGTTTTTCAAGTGCTTTTAAGGCGTGAAAGCAAGTAATATAATTGCGGAATTGTTGACTCTATTTGAAAATGGCAGACATGGTAAACACGTCACAGCTGGTGCAAGACTGCCCGTGCTCGATTGTCAACACAAGAACAATGCAGAAGATGGCATTCTCTGAGAGGCAATTCCAGATGCTGTCACTGCGTCCTAACACCAGTTCAGACAGTAGGCAATCCGTGAATGCTCAGCCCCCCAGCAGAATACTCGAGTATTCAGATTTGCTTTGACTTTTAAAATATCCCCAGTAAAAGGTAAGACAGCATCTGCCTGACCAAGCAGGGCACCTCATTTCCAACCCCACGTGATGACCGTTCGCTGGATGCGCCCAAAAAACCCATCACCAGGCTGCAGAATGTGAAGCCCATCCTTCTCTGTTGTAACCTAGCAGCCTTGAACTGCCCAACCCTCTGCAGTTTCTTCTGACGCTTCTGACGGAACCTCCCTCTCTGGAATGGTCGGGACAGGCTGAGCTGAGCAATGGCTGACTGGGGTGCTGGGGACGTTGATAAAAATGCTTTTAAATGACAGCTGCAGAAAAAGCTTCTGACACCCTTGACAAGGGCGCAGGTTTCTTCGGATTTCCTTGGATTTCTTCTTCCACAATGCTGTCGCTGGCATCACTGCACGCGGCCTCCTCACAGGACCCCCACCCCAACCCCCACCCCGACCCCCACCCCAGGAGTGCCGCTCCCACTAAGTTTCGCTGCTGCAGACACTGTGCTCTCTCCTTCAGAGACTTCAGGGTGGAGTTCCCAGAGACAAGAATTGCATGCACGTGGACTAAGACTCTGTAAACCTCAGAGGAGCTAGGCAGCGTGCCTGCCCACTGCTCTTCCCTCCCTGGTTGGCTTCCGGTTTCTTTGCAATGCATTTGAAAGTGGCATTTTTCTGTATTTATTCAAACCATTTCTAGAATCAACAGTACGAAAAACAAATATATATTCTCGGTACAGAATTACCTCCGGAAGCACCAAGGTCATTTTCATTATCTCCATCATCACTGTTGTCTTCATTATTATGGAGGCAACGAGGCAGCCCTGTGCCCTCGCGGGGACAGGGGGGGGGTCCTCAGGCCTGTCATGCTCCAGTTTGCTACCACCCCTTTCCCCCAACTTCCTCTACCAGTCCTAGCTGAAAAGGGGTGGAGTCTGGGAGTGTCAGTCCAAGAGGGAGGAGGCACTTTACATTTTTAATTAATTAATTGAACTTTATTTATTTTGTTGCCAATAAACAATTTAATTCCAGAAAAATGCAATTAAGTAAATGTCAGAATGGTAACAAAGAGAAGGGAGGGGTCATAGCTGTATTGGTTGGTCTCATTTTCTCCACCCTGATCTTAGGCCTTCCGTGTACTTTTAATTGGTTTATTTGATATTTGAAGAGATTAAAATATGGTTTCCCTGAGGACTTTGGTGCAGACCCAGGGTCCCCCTAGATGTTGCCCTCTGTCCTCTCTCTCTTCCCTTCTAGCTCATCTCCAATGCCTTTTGTCACCCGCTGACCTGCAGAAACACCTTCTGCCAGGGAACCGCGGTGTCCACACTGGGCTGGGACTCAGGTAGCAATTACCACTATCCTTCCTGTCCTCCATTCCAGTCTCTCCAGACTTACCCTTAGTCCTGCAGAAGCCCCTCCCCCAACCTTGCCTCCATTCCCTGGAGATTCCTCCTCTTGGTGTCAACCCAGAGACCCTCTAGTTCCTTCCCAGTGCCCCTCCAAGCCTCTCCTGGAGCAGCTCCGTTCCTTTGTGATATGGGCTGATCCACACTATTGGGACCTGACAGCCATTACATTTGCTTAGGATCCAAAGCAGGCAACAGGAACCAAACAGAACACCCACCCATGAGAGAGGAGACCAGATATCTATACCAAGAAACATGAAACATCCTAACTCTAGATGCCTAGATTCCAGTGCAAAAACACAAACATGAACTTCCAAGACAATACACCTCCTCCAGAAGCCAATGAGCCTATTGTAATGGGTCCTGAGGAAAGCAGTTTAGCTGAAGCACAAGATGAAACTGTGGTATTGTATTCCCCCAAGTATTGTGCATGCTAATAAACTTATCTGGGGTCAGAGACAGAGCAGCCACAATATTAAACATGAAGGATAGGCAGTGGTAGCACACGCCTTTAATCCTAGCATTCCAGAGGCAGAAATCCATGTGTTCAAGGACACAGATAGGCATGGTGACTCATCACACCTTTAATCCCAGAAAGCAAGCCTTTAATCCCAGGGAGTGGTGGTAGAAAGCAGAAAGGTATATAAGGCGTGAGGACCAGAAGCTAGAAGCATTTGGCTGGTTAAGCTTTCAGGCAGCACAGTTCAGCTGAGAGCCACTCAGATATGAGGACACAGAAGTCTCCAGTCTGAGGAAACAGGACCAGCTGAGGATCCGACGAGGTGAGGTAGCTGTGACTTATTCTATCTCTCTGACCATCCAGCATTTCACCTCAGTAACTGGCCCTGGGTTTGATTTTATTAATAAGACCATTTAAGATTCATGCTACATGAAACAGCAATCATGGTTATGTTCAAGGACCTTAAGGATGTCAAACAAAAACCTCAGAGGTACAAACAAAAAACAAAAACCCTGAGAGAATCTCGAGTCTTAAAGATAAGGAAGAAGAGATGGATAGCTCAACCAAAGAAAATGTTAAATTAAAAAAAAAAATCCAGGCACAAAACATTCAATAAATCAGGGTTACCATGAAAAGACCAAATCTATGAATATTAGGTATAAAGGAAGAAGAAACGCACAGGAAATATTTTAAACAAAATCAAAGAAGAAAACTTCCCCTATCTAAAGAAAGAGATGCCTAGCCAGGTACATAAAGCATATAACATATAGA